TTTAGTTTATCTAATACCCTGCTGGAATGATTTTCAGATCAAATACGTAGGTCAAAGTAGAAGAACAGGGGCAGTCAGACTAGCCGAGCATAAAAACCTAGCAGCAATATCTAGATTGGTTGACCCGAATAAGATAAGAAATCTAGAGAATAGTTCAGCTATAGCACTACATGCAGTTACACACACCCAAACAATGGGATGGATGAGATAAGATGACAGTTTTAAAATCTAACGTAACAGGGTGGAGGGAGAGATTGGTAAATGAGGCTTTGTTTACCGAATCAACCAAAGGGAAAACGTATAATAGAAATAATTCAACACCTGTCCACTTAGATATCTGGAAAATTGTACTACCCCAACGAAGACGAATAGGAGAGAACAAAGAAAATTATAAAACTCAAGTTTCGAAGTCGTGTGATTATCATTGATATGATTATGAACAATAAATTTTGTTCGAAACCTTGTCATCCAGTAAATAATACTGTTTCAATGTGTGATATATCTAATAAACAAACTAATATGGAAACTTGAAATGACTTGTCAATTTTTCCCACCCCACATTCTACGAATCTATTATGACTAATCACCACTGTCTCCCATTTCATCGAAATATTTTGTAATCGATTTCAGCCTAGCACGAAGTTTGTCACACAAATACTATTTATTTTGACACCCCATACATAACTAATCTGTTATTCCACGTAAAAAAATGTATCTACTGCATAACTGGCCATTATTGTAACGACAACAAATATTATATTTTATAATTGTAAGAACCTGAAGAGAAGATTGTATTGGAAAGAATATTCTTCGTTCAAAGTGACTTATAATTCATGTGATATTGGAATATTTCACACTATTAAATTCCCTAATTTTCTTCAGTCGCAAAATGTACTCACAAACATTTTCAACTGGCTTTCAAATTATCGGTGAGCATTTTACTGAGATGATGTGAAAACATAAGGGATTAGTGTATGATTCAGGTCGAACAGCATTTCACCACCTATAATTTTCTTTTTATTTCTTTGTGTTCCCAGTGGAACTTAGGGCTTCAAACTAGAGCTCAAAAGTTTCTGTAGCAGTGGTGTTTATTTTTACGGGATGTGGTCGCTAGCCTCGTACCCAACCTCCCCTCTTTACCAGTCTTATTACTGGCTTAGTGAGGTTTGGGAGTATGTCGGCCGGGGATCGAACCTCGCCTAAATATATGTATATGTACTAGTTGTGTTTGAGGAATATAAGATTATGACTGTCCTTTCTATCTGTTCTGCTATCTGTGCAGTAGTGATATTCTGACTAGCAGTATTAACGATAATTCATGAATTGAAAATATCGTGTAAGTAGTCAATTTCAAGGGGAATATTACATGCTGAGAATTTTTTACTGTAAGCACGTGAGAAGCTTATTTCATTATATCGAAAGTGTCAAAAAATAACAATATCCTCCTGTTCACAGTGAGATATTTTGTATGGTGTAAATGAAGATAATTAGTTCGTAATTTCGAATAGTCAATATTGCCATAATTGAATGTTTGTTAATTAATTTCAGGCAACTGGGGGTTGGTGGGTTTTGTGATTACGCAAAACAGAGCAAAAGGATAAAAATAGAACGATGAAATCTGGTCACTTGTTGTAATGGCTGGAAATTAAGACAGTTTATGGCTAAAACAACTCGATTTTATAATAAGATGAACCTATGCGTTATATTCCATGATTACTTGGAGTGTTTTAATTAGTTAAACTTTGGATGATCATTGAACAAAGCTTAGAAGGGCAGTCAAACATCTTCCTACCTGAACTTCATTGACTTTGAAAAGGCCTTCGACAGACGGAGTTGACCAAGAAGTAATTTGGAAACTACTTCAACACTACGGTGTACCTCAAGATTTTATCAACCTCACTCAACAGCTGTGTGACAATGCCACGTGTAATTGACCCACAACAGAAAACTCAGTGACGCCTTTGAAGTGAATACAGGAATAAGACAAGACTGGCTGTCTGACTATTATCACCGATGATATTCCTAATTGTGGTGGACTGGATTATGCAGCACACTATATGTGGGGAGTGACAAGACAGGAATATGCTGGACTGACCGCTAAGAAGACTCTCTAAGATCTGGATTTTGCGCGTGGATGATTTATGTTTAAAGTCACACAAACTTGAAGACTTGCAGGTAGGCAGGCAGGCGAAAACTAACAAACTGATTGAATACGCGAGCAACCGGCACAGACAGGACTCAACTTTAGAGGACTTCATCATGAGCCGACATCACTTAGAGGACCAATGGAAAAGCTGGGAGTACTAGAAATTTGTTTCGTCCCGGTTCGGGACTCTTCGGAAGTACTCATCCATAGGGGTGCATAATCACACAACTTCAACTAATCTTGATTTTGCTGTCAGGTCTTTCTACTCCGCTAGTCTGACTGACTGATTGCGTTCCACTACTTTGACCTATGTATATTTGATCTGACAGTCAGCGGAGACAGGCTGTTGGGTAAACTAAATTGTTTTGCCTAATTGGCTTCACAGGACTGATGCTTCAACAGACAAAGCTTGTCTCTAATTGAGTCTGAATGCCAGTCACTTTTATTGCTGCCTGCGTTGTTAAGAATTCTCCATCTCTGAGGTTTCTGAGGTTCCTTATTTGAATGGAATTACTACTGATGGTGATTTAAATTGCCTATTGTTGTTGTTGTCATTATTCTGTGCATGTCTAACATACATGTCGTCACTGACAGTATCATTATTATCATCACTATCACTACGTTTTATTATTATTAATTTTAGTTGTATATTTTCCTACATGCTACCTGATTAATTTATCAGGGTAATTATCAAGTTTTAAAGCTATTTTTATATGTCTGACTTCCTGTATTAGATTTTCCTTGTAACTACTTAGTTTTTGTGCTCTATTATTTAAACATTTCGTCAACCCCATTTTAATTGACACAGGGTGGGATGATGCGAAATACAAATATCGGTTTAAATGTGTAGATTGTCTGTAAACACCAGTGGTTAACTTCCCATCCTCTTTCCTTCTCACGCTACTATCTAACATTGGAAGCTCCTTCCTCTTCCTGACTCTCCACTTCATAAGTGAATTGAATTGCCCCCACCTTCGAGTTGATGTGTTCGTAAAACCTATTTATGTCGTGCGTTTTAAGAACAGTGAATGTGTGATTTACACACCTACACTTTACTTTTTGGTGTAGAGCTGAACATTTCAATCACTAAGTTTTCCTACCTATCCATGAATATATATGCGACAATGGGGAATATTAGTAACCCGGTGGCAAATCCCCCAGTTTAAATACTGTGCAAGTCAGTCATAGCTGCACTCCTAGACATTATGTTTTGTAGTGGCACTTTAATTCTAAGTCCAATTTCTTGGTCAGAAGTGGGTTCGTTTGATAACTGAAGCTTCGTTTATCGAATCAACTGAAGAGAATACGTGTATTAGGAATGATTCAACACCTGTCCAGTCGGACATCTGAAAAATTCTACCACTACCCATATGACGAATGGGAAAGAATAAAGAACGAAACTATAAAACGAAATTTTTGAAGTTGTGAGATTATAATTGATGAAATGATTATGCACAATGAAATAAATTGTGTTCGATAGGCATCTTCATCCAGTAAATAATAATAATACTGTCTCTCCACTGTGTGATATATCTAAAAATAAATAAATATAGAACTACATACTACTACAGTGCCGAATTTTTTCACATATATTCTAATGAACATGATCATAGCTAACGGTAGATCTCGCTTAAACCATATCTTTTTGAAATTGAGGTACACTTCAATCCTGTTTTAAAACGGCTTTACATTACATAATTTTGGAGGTAAACAATTCATGCCGCTTCCATTCTGGAAAATTCTCCCGCTAAAACGTAGTTTGATAAACCAATGAATGCAATTTTAATGTCTTAACGAAGAGCCTAATATTATTAAACAGTTACTGAGTGAGAGCGGTTACCCAGAAAAATTCAGCCATAAGAATATGAATCAAAAGTCAAGGCAGACCAGACCACCTGCACTTCTGAAAAAGCCTTATTCTAACAACTTCAGTTCCTCAGGAAAAAACGTCGGTTAGATATTGATATAACCTCTTAGGCATGTGGCAGTAAAGAGAGTACTCAGTGTTGCTGAAGTATGCTGTATCTTCAAAACCACATCTATTTTACTTTTGAAAGGTGAAGACAAACTACCTAGTTTTGCCTCCTCTATGCGTATCTATCACTTTTAATGTTCTTCCGAGGCCATTTACATAGGCCGTGCAATTAGGCGTTTTTCTCGTTGGATTTCCAAACACCATCCTGCAAGGTGGTTGAGTAAGGGCGAAACAAAGTCCATTCATAGTTCTATACTGTCTCATCTCATAGGTATAGAACACAAAAACGATATAAACAAGGCCTTCAAAGTCATCTACCGTATATCAACTAACTAAGCTTAATTTTACCTTAAGAGCGTTTGTCTATTACATACTGCTGAGGCTAACTGTTAGAATCTAAATTAACGAGCGTAATTTATGTATCCACGAGAATAAATTGGTTCAGACTCTTTCCTTACCCAGCTGACCGGCCATCGAGGTTTTAATGTTCCTTAATTTTGTTGTAGAAATTTCCTTAATTTTATTTGATATTCTGTTTACTATTTCATTTTATGCTTATTGTGACTTATGCATGTTTCTTGAACTGTGGTCATTCCATTGTGATCTTAACAAATCGATAGTATTGAGACAAAAAACACCAATATTGTTATTGACAACTATTCTAGAATATTCTGTGTATATAGATATATATAAACTTATGTAATTGTAGAGCCAGGAGAGGGAAGTACCGAGAAGAATATTCCTTGCTCAGATCTTTTGTCTTCTAAATATCTGAATTAATATTTTCGTTATATTTCAATTACTGTTTACATTTCCACAAAGCGTCCGGTTATATTAAACACAACTCATCTTTCTACTCTTTTATCCTGATATATTCAGGGGATTTCATACAGATATTGCCCATTTATGCGCTGAAACTGGTTATCTAATCTGGATAGAACCGAAAAAGACTATGCATGTGTTATTCACTTATGGCGATACAAATTGTGATTTTCTGTGAGTTAATTTTAATTACTAAATTAATTTTTTGCTGCCTTTGTTTCAAAAGGTCATTTGTTTAGTTTGCATTTTTTTTCTCGTGAAATTCATGATCCGTATTTTTCCTCTAGTCATACTGAGTGTTTCCATCACTGTGAATAAATTTCAAATTACAATTCTATTTCTGAATAAGGCATTTAGAAGACAAATTTCGCGAGATGATATCGTCATTTCGTAGTTGCTTTACAACCGCTTTACAACTAACATGGTTAACAATAATAAAATAAAGATCATGACAATTACTCAGTTATATAAAAAACAAAAGTACATACTATGCTAATGACCAATCATATTTAAATAGGTCAAGTAGTCCAACATGGTAGGCGAATTTTGAAGTCTATTGCTTTTTGTACACACAGTTTAGGCTGTATGTGATTAATCCAAAGTGCTTCCATCACCTTCAATAACCAACCTTGATTTAGAGTTATGTGATGAAATAATTGTGAAACAGTCATTAATATTGATTTTGTGACCTGACATTAATAAGTGTTTTGCAATGGATGATGCTGGATTTCTATTCAGATTAGTCACATTGGGATTTTCTATATGATTTAGTAACCACTGTGGAGCATGTTCTTTTCGACGACATTGTAACATTCTATTGGTTCTACATATATAGGTGTCACCGCAGCTGCAGGTGAACCTGTAGATACAGTTTGAAGTCGAGTTCACAGAATTTCGTCCTTTAATTGTAGATACAGGGATCGAAAATGTTCAGCATGTGAGAAAAGGAGATGTGGCGTAGAATGTGCGTTTGATGGCTGACTAAAGTGTCTTTGAGCTATCGACTGCATAATCTGGTCACCCTTGAATAGTAGGTAGGTTAATAAAGATAGCTTTCTTTGGTACAATAGACTTCAACCTTCACCTACTATGATGGACTACATGACCTATTTAAATATGATTGATCATTAGTGTGTACTATTTTTTATATATAACTGAGTAATTGTCATGAACTTTATTTTATTATTGTTAACCATGTTAGTTGTAAGGCGGTTGTAAAGAAACTACGAAATGACGATATCATCTCACGAAATTTGTCTTCTAAATACCCTACTCAAATTTATCAAAGGGACCGACTGTTTTAATTGTATTTTTCTTTTTAATATCACCTAATAAAATATAACCTAGCCTAGTTTACTAGCTTGCTTGTTTCCTAGCCAGTCTCGATCCCTGGTAAATTAGGGAGGGTTACGCGTATGGCTAGCGACCCCATCCCCCAAAACCATTCAAATTGCTGGAGAAACTTCAACGCACAAGGAAAACATTAAAAATGCAAAAATATATAAAAAGCAAACTTATTCTTTGCTCAAATCGTTGAGGCAGAATGACGTCACCTGGTGAAAGCCAGCCTTCGGGAAGCCAGTCGGTCAGCCGATGTATATTCCCTCGATTAAAGCAAGTAATGAATGGGGACTTGGAATGTACGTACAATGTATGAGTCTGAGAAGGCTTCCCAGGTAGCCAAAGCAATCAGCATAAAGAAGAAGATTCGTATTTTCAACACAAATGTCAAGTCAGTCGCTTTTTCTATATGGGTCAGAAACTTGGCCGGCGTGCCACGAAAAGCATTTCCAACAGCCAGCTGCAGACTTTTATCAACAGCTGACTTCACTGGCTCTATAATGAAGATCGAATGGCCAGCCAGAAATAATTAGCAACAAGAAACTCTGGCTGGGAACAAGCCAACCAAGAACCTATCGCTCAACAGAAATGTAGGAGAAAATGGAGATGGATTGGGTACAAGCCGAGAATACCGTTGAATGACACCGCATTCCAGGCTGACGCTTAAGTGGAATCACTATGAGAAATGAAGATCGGGTCATCAGATCCCAAGGGTTCAAACCCCAGTGGGTGCGTACTGCCGATGATTCCCAAACTAGGCTGATGAAACGGCTGGCTGTCCATTACTCACTGGTTTTCAGTGGTTCTCTAACTGATATCAATCCATGATCAACTCGTAAAAACATATCTAATCCTTAGAAACCAATCATAGAAAATTAATTTGATGCTCGCTAGTGACCTGCTGCAGGATGGAGTTTCCTGGAGTTCTAGTGAGAAGTTGCGACCAGTGAGGTCCATCCAAATGTCACATGTGAGGATGGATATCCCACCGACGACAATGGTTGGGGTCGCGCTAAATCATGAACTGTTAGAAGTTAGAATTCATGGGATGGCCATTGAGGAATTGGGTCCCAGTGGCTGAATGGTATACGAGCTTGCTTGCCTTGTAACCGGTAGGTCCTGGGTTCGAATCCCTGTGGTGGGTGCGTACTGCCGATAATTCCCAAACTAGGATGAAACAGCAGCTGTCCAGTACTCCCTGGTTTTCAATGGTACTTTTAATGATATCAATCCGTGATCAACTCGTAAAAACAAATCTAGTCCTTACAAACCACTCATAGAAAATATTAATAAATAAATAAAAAATTAACTAGCAAGTGTTGGCATGCAAGTTTTTCACCGGTAATAGGTTTGATCACAAGCGGACACTAGTAAGAGAACCGCTGGAAAGCCAGGGAGTACTGGATGGCTTTTTCGTCCTAATTTGAAACCTGTTATAAAACTTTTAGCCAATCAAATTAAACCCCTGCAAACCACCAACACTTGAATATCAATCTGATGCTTACTAGTGACTGACCCTATTCAAGTAGGCAGCTAGTTACCTGGTGTTCTAGTGGGAATTCGTGACCAGTAGGTTATGGTAGGTTGGGTGTGAGGACGAATACTCGTCACCGATTACACTGACTTGTACCAGTCGCGCTATATCGTGCATAAATTAGCAGAAGTTGGAAATCATGAGCTATTAGACAGGATTTCGTTGGCTCAGTGGCCTATGAGCTTGTATTGTGACCAGAAGGATTTGGATTTGCACTCCTGATGAGTTAGATATAATAGAGAAGATTTGTAGCTCAGGTGGATGATTTTGGTGTGGTTGTGTTCTCTGAGCTGGATGGTTTGGTTGCGAAGCTTTCATTGCTCTACTGAGCAACATCTTCAGCGCATACTTCGATGTGAAGTGAGCTTTTAGAATTCTCTATGAGTTTATTAGTCATCTCTTCTAGTAACCCTGAACGTGATTGGTTGTTTTCGTGTGACATTTCACCTCCTAGGAGGTGAAGTATGCGCTGAAGATGTTGCTCAGTAGAGCAATGAAAGCTTCGCAACCAAACTATCCAGCTCACAGAACACAACCACACCAAAAACCCCTGATGAGTGCGTGATACTGAAAAGTCCTAAACTGGGACGAAAAAGCTATGCAGTATTCTCTGGTCTTCCAGGGGTTCTTTAACCTATATTTATGTCTCTAACAGATGTAAAGTAATCCTTTGTACTTTGAAGTCATTCTTTAAATAATTTGTACAGAAACGTAATCCATTGTATCTACTGTCAGATGTGTTCCGCAGAGACTACCGATTATTTTTTATAATAACTTGTGTAGGAAGTAATTAACAGAAGATTATTTTCTCATTGAATATTTTCTTGTTGTTGACAGTTCGGAGATTTCAAATAAAGTTCAAACCTATAAGTTGTTTGTTGAAATTATTCTGAGTTCCATTCTGATTGACTTTATTGCATCGAAATGGCAGGTCTCTGTTAAATTTATAGATAATATTTTATTTCCATAAATCACACAGTGTAGTGTTATGCAGGAATATTAACTGATGACCACACGTTTCGAGCACAAATTATTACTGCTTATAATCATATCAAGTCACTCACACAATTTTTTAAACTTTATTTATATACATGAGTGAAATTGATGATTAGACATTTGAAAAAAATCAATATAACTTTCAATATGTCTTTTTAACTTGACCTACGTCTATTTTCTCACCCCTTATCTCTTTGTTATATATATGCTGAGATTTTGTAAATTCCGGTTTAATAACACTTTGATAAAGCTATTAGCAGCATTAAATAGCGAAACGTCAGTAAAAACAATATAGTTTTGTTTTTCATTCATTGGGAAATACAAAAACCTTTATTATAATGAATAAGATAATGTACATTCAGAAATAATATTATTAGTGTTATCAATCAAATACAGTCAGAATGGAAATAAGACGAGTGTTTTTATAGTCAAATAAATAAGTAACTTGTCAGAATGTTATAATGCATGTGAATTGAAATAAAATTTTCATATTTTTTATTATCCTCCTGTGATTTGACTGACTGGTGGTAATAGTATCTTCCATATCTCTGGTATTCGCTTTGATGAGTCGCTTCTATTGCGAACATGTTGGGTGTAGATTCGATAAACCAGGCAGGATTCAGTAATCAACCTCTCTCTCTACTCACTTAGAACTACGTAGCACAAAATAGACCTAAACGATGAAATGAAACAGATAGAAGAGGCGTTGGTGTTGGATAACTATCCTATAAATTTTATCAGGAATGTCAATAAAGGTCAAAAGCAAAATAAAAATAATGGGAAAACTAATAATTATAACATAAATCAGAGAGAATATTAAGCATCTACTGTCACACCATATAAGGAGTGGTCATCTGGGGTCTTAGGTAGGATTCTCAATAAAACAGGAATTAGGGTGGCATTCAAACCTACAAACTCACTCAGGCAGGCTAAAATACCCGGTTGACCCAATTAGACAAAATAGTATAATTTACGAAGTACCTTGCAATGACTGTCAGTTAAGTCAACTAGATAGGTCAAACTAGTAGGCAGGGGTGATCAGATTATCAGAACATAAGAATTTAGCTAAGGTAAGAATGGTTGACCCCGAGAAGGCAGATGAGTAATTTAGAAAAAAGCTTAGCACCGCGTTGCACTGCATGCATTAACAAACAACCACACAATAGGGTGGGTGGGAGAGGGTTAAAGTTCTAAGAAGTAATGCAAGTAGGGGGAGAGCGAGAGAGACTAATCACTGAATCCTGCCTGGTTTATCGAATCTACACCCAACATGTGCGCAATAGAAGCGACTCATCAAAGCGAA